TGTGGTCACACAATTACACTGGTTGGCTAGTTCCAATGCTGTTTTTGGACTTTTTAATAGCGCTTTACGGTTGCTATTTTACGCATGTGCCATTCACCGACACGTACACACCCACCCAGTTCGCGGCAAACAGAGCTATGCATTACGGAACTTTTACTTAATATGACGTATCAAGTACGAACCATTTGTGATAGGCTCTGAGAAAACGACCCTTATGGCGCACGTAGTATTGTTGTAGTAATGGCGGTTTTGCAGAGAACTACATAATTTACGGATTCCCGTTTTTCCCCGTATTCTAGTACCTCAGTCTATCGTCTACATTCTGCGCAAGTTTGACGCACTAACTCTGTTCCGTTCCGTAGTTATGGCCCTGGATATCCGGCAACTACCGTCACTCGCGCCGTCGTTAGGCGGAATTACAAGGAATAATCAAACCTTTTACAGAGTCACGTAAACGGGAATTCCCCTTTACTACGTTTACCTATCGAATACGGCCGGATGCACGCGCGCACGTAATGTTGTAACACGGACTTGTTACGAGAATACGGAGTGAAATTTGACACCGGAGTTCAACTTTAGACGCGATGTTCAACATTAGATGCAGCGGAATGGCACCTAGCGTTTGTGCTCATAAGTTCGCAACGGAACAGGCTACGCCCGGTGAAACAAACGGCCAAACTATAGTGCATTTATGGGTCTTCGGTCTAGCGCACAAAATATATTCGATAATTTGCACCATAAGGGTCGTTTTCTCACCCTCGGCGCGCAGTGAGGGTTACAGTACTTGGTTTGTAAGTGTGTCTGTCCGTCCGCCTGTCTGTTACCAATTTACTGCGACTACATGCAACGAGGTAACAAAATAGCCATACCAACGGGTTCATCGCTTCACTGGCTTCGTTTTTTAAAGGGCGATTTTCGTGTAACTGCTGCGTTAAAATGCTATGGCATGAAAAGCAAGTGAACAAGCTAAAATGTAAATTGACACAGGCTTACCCCGACCGCGTCCGCTCGCTCTGTGTATCTTGCAGGCACAAGAAGTCTCAACGAAGGGCGTGTACCGACTCCCGCATGCTATCTACTACTGTACCTAGCCCATGTCAGACTCTGCGCGAGCTACTAGTGGGATACCATGAGTAAAGGCATACAAACCCCAGCCCATCAATTAGTGCTACTGCGCATGCACAGTTCGCCGAACGTTTGCACTTTAGTGCTTTTCATTGTTTTTAGTTGGAAGCTTCAATATACTACCTGGAATTTTGTGTGAACAAGCTCAAGAACGAGGACAGGGCCATTCATAACTTCCTCATCTCTACCTATGTCATGAGTCGCAGTGAGCAGAAGCTGCTAGCCTACCTTACAGAGCAGTCAAAGGTACAGTTCGTTTGTAACTGTGTATGCAAAAGAGGTGTGGGCAAAATTTTTCACATTTCACTGCATCTTGCGTTTTCTACACTTTCAGAATATCGTACAGGTAGCCCGTTCCATTATGAACATGCTTTTATGTGTACCTCGGATGCCGCGTCCTTACACATAAACAAATTTTCTGCATATATGCTCCGTCACACGTCACACGTTGATACATCTGCCTGTGCAGTTGTAGAATGAGGCTATCACACAATCATGGCGACTGTCCGAACAAAGTTAGAGTATTAGTGAACCCAGCTCCTTTGGGCTCCTTTTGAAGGCCTGTGAGTTTATCGTTTATCCGCGTAATACCACTTTACCTTAGGGTCTGTATTATTTTCGGGTACAAACTTTAGCGAATGTCACATATGGTGGGTTTGTGGGTATAAATTTTATGCAATTTACCCTCGCCGCGTGGGCGAAACAAGAGCAACAGTAGCTATACTACTGGTTCATCCACTGTCTACTTACAGTAGGAGTCAAAAAAAGTTTCCAATAACGTTCCGTTTCTTTCCGTTTCTTTCCGTTTACTGTTTACTATCGTTCCGTTTAGTTTCCGTTCAGTCTCCGTTTAGTTTTACCGTTCCGTTCCGTTCCATTCCGTTCCTTTCCGTGGGCTGACATCCTCTGCCATCGTCGACGCTTTGGCCGCTGAGGGGGAGGCTGCCACCAGGGCAAGGAATTGCCAAAATTCTAAAGCGAGTTCAGCGCACTGGCAGCCTCAAGAGATCCCCCGGAAGTGGACGGCTACCAAAGCTAACTCCGGCTATCAGGGCCGCAATGATTCGCCGCGAAAACAAGGCTAAGCGTCTAGAATGGGCATTTACACGAAGCTGCAAATGGCTTCTCGGACGTCATCTACACGGACGAGACAAGTATTCAGCTTGAGACCCACCGACGGTTTTGCTACCGCCGGCGCGGCGAACCCCCGTGCCCCAAGCCCAAGTAAGCCATTGCCACAATACACATTATAACGCATTACCTAGCTAGAAATTGGGGACCTGTGGGCAGCCTACAACAGGGTCTAGCAGCTGCAGCCGGTCAACAACCACCAGACAGTGAACCACTCCCTCCATTTTGTGGACCCAGCAACAGGGATCCACACACAAAACATCGAATCCTATTGGAATCGCGTAAAGAGGAGGTGTTTGATGAAGGGGGTTCACCAGATGATGCTGAACTCGTACTTCGATGAGTTCATGTGGAGGGAGCGGCATGGCCGCAGTGCAGCTACAGCACTCGCGAGTCTCTGCCGCGACATTGCCCTGAGGTACCCCCAGTAGACCCTGACCTGACCGGCACTGTTTCTTTATTCTTTTTTAGTGGGCGTCGCCTTAATTAGTAAGTCGCTACGCGTCGGGTCCGTACACTCCAGTTGATCCTTCTTTCTCTCCAAGCTTCGCTGGGGAGACTATATTTCGCAGTGTCTTGTAACTAGCGGCTCAAATAGCTGAGTGAAACACAGCTCACTTCTTGGCCGCGTACGTGATTCCGTTGGCTGCAAAAAAAAGTACTCGGACGTTCCACATACTGTTGCCAATCACTGTGCTTGCATTCTTCTATTCGACCCAGCATACCATCTCGTCGCCAATATGTTGTGAGACATTCGTGGGTATTGCTTTGTACGACATAGTAATAGTGATAGCAGATCAATGCATAGCTACACAGTAACGCGACTTATATACAGCATGAGACAGATACGGAAATGATGTAACATGATGAGGTAAGGTGACATCACAATACACAGTTTTGACTAGTCACGATACTACACGTATGTATAGCTAACATATTGAAAACATGCAGCGGAATGTTTATACCTCCACTGAGTATCATGATGAAAGTCAGTTTTTGACTCACCTTGCATTTTGCTGTGATTGTGTAACAGCCATGTATTAAGCGAGGCAACCTGGTGACCTTCTGCTGAACTGAATGTCTGATGGTCTAGCAAGTGTGAAATTTGAATGTGCACGGCAGTAAACCTTTGCCTGTGCCAAAACCCTTTTTATGGCATTGAGCTCGCAGTGAAACTTGGGCAAAAAGTAGGTCAAATGTCCCCGTCAGTGAAGTTAATGCTCCACAGTGTTTTTTCCCCATTTGTGAAGTCTTTGTGATTCCACAGAACAATCGTCTGCACGCATATTGGAGGTTTTTATCCCTCTTTCGGAAAGAATTGTCCGTAACCCCTTGGCAACTCCATCTTCAGTTACCATGCTCTGTGGCTGCTTTGCTCACCCTCTGTCGCCCACCATCCTTCACTAAGTGTTCTTTGCAAGCACAGCTTTTTCTTCAAACTTTCGATGACAACTGCTTTGATCAAACAGCCAAGCTATTGCGTCCGAAACTTGAAGTCAGCAATGTTGGCTGCAATTTCAACTTGCTTCATGAATCGGTCACCGGTCCAGTAGCCCTCTTTATCAGCCCCTTATTCCAGTAATTGTCGTAATGTTCGGGAAAAGCTGTTTTGTTTCCTCAAACTCTCAGTCAGTGAGCTGCAAATATCACCATGCTGTTCTACGCAGTCCGACACCATTATGCTGCTTCCCTTTGTTTTTAGGTAAATTGGCAGGCCGATTTTCCTCCCCCCACATCCACCCAGGTCTAACTTTCATTGGTGTAAAAAATGGATTCATCGTGATAGATTACCACCAACTCCTTTTTTTTATCATCCTCTTCACATCTTATTTGTGGAGGATCATTGCTGATCGATCATTTTTTGGACAATTATGATTACGGGCACTATAAAACGACACTTTATTGGGTCAGGAAGGTCGTTTTTTCTTGGGATATTTATTTTGACTTATCCGAATGTGCAGCTGTACAGTGTTGTTGATTGTATGGCAGAAGAAACATTAATTATCAAGTGCATCCCTGTTCTTTTTTCACTTTCACCGTCTATATTTTTAGCAAGATTTCGATTTGTGTGTACTTGCCTTTTCACTTACCATCTCCAAGGATGAAATCAGAGCAAGTCCATCTCTACATATTGTTTTTTCCTGTGATGTGTGTGATATTCAGTGATATTAATCCGTTTTGCAGCTGCTGGCTGTAGTGTATGATCCTCAGTATGCCTTGAGGCTGTGCTCAGAACATAAGCTTACTCGGGCGTGTGTGTTGATATATGCTGCTATGGGACTGTACGAAGAATCAGTCGACCATGCTCTGTTGGTTAGTGTAACATGTTTGTTTGTATGTCTCTCCATCAAAACACCTGATGTAATTAACCCTCTGTGCGTGTGCAGTGAGGGTTAAGCTAGGTTTATAATGTGCCACAAAGGCTGACAACACATGTTCTGATTGCCACGCTCACTTGCTACCTGGATCATTTTCCGCTCACTGGTTTACTAAATGGTATGCCCAGTAAAGAAGCGGCCTTTTGCGACACAGACGTTTAAGACTCTCCTTAGTTTTGTTACTTCACTTGTTCCAAGAAAGTGCAGATTTTGAAGGAATTGTTTGGTAACGCCGCACGTCGGGTCCAAATACAAAAGTGGGCATGCATGCCAGAGGATCTGATTTTCTTGGCAAAACACTCCATTGTTACCCTTGTGGTGCAATGTGTATGATATATATGTATATATAGCATTTCGAGTTTTCCTAGGCAACCTCGGCAATAAGATAATCACAAAACAATATTGTTCAAGGTGGCGTTTAAACTTGATCGCCACTGGCTTACCTCAACCGGTTTAGTCCGTTGAGGACTTGGGTATCTAGTCCGGCGCTCCAAACACCATGCACTGTTGCAGCCTGTGTTTTAGGGCTCCTTTGACGGGTAGACCATGTTAAATTCCCCAGCCCATAAAATACCAAAATTGTATGTGCATGGGATTGTTCACATCAACACTAGTGCACGCCTTTCCGGCAAGGGTTTGCTGTTTAGTGCTTTCTGGCTTTCTGTTTCGTCTGACCTTTTTCTAAACTTTATTTTGGCGGAGTATTTTTTCGTTTCCCTGTGTTGTGTCCAGGTCGATGTGGAGCTGGCACGTCAGATTGCTGGCTCCAAAGTTGAGGGATGAGGAAATGCAGAAGAAGCTCTGGTTGAAGGTGGCACAGCATGTTATCAGGAAGGAGAACGACATTGCAAAGTAGTTACAACAGCTCTTTTTAACCAAGCCCGCAAGGATCCACAATATTACATAGACATTTCGTCCAAGAGAAGACAGATCAACGTAGAGAGTGTCGACATAGTAATGAACAAAGTCACTGATGCAGTACTTTTATATTCGGGAATTAACAGCTTTAATGCATTTACCATAGATGCACTTGTATTTTTAATTACACTGCACTTTGCAGAGCTATGAAATTCTTGAAAGATTGCAGTATCCTCAAGATTGAAGATATTCTTCCCTTCTTTCCGGACTTTGCTACCATTGATCACTTCAAAGTTAGTAGTTAACCATGCTTCTTTTGTATTTAGTTTTCTCCGTACTATGAGAACATTTGTGACCAAACACTTTGGCTATGAGTATCACATATTTGTCATGACAAAAGCTGGTAGTTATCCATTGGTTCTCTAGGATGCTATCTGCACATCTCTGAGTGAGTACAACGCCCACATTGAGGAGTTGAAACAGGAGATGCAAGGAGCAACTGATAGTGCCAAGAACATTAGAGCCGACATTCAGGAGATTAGGAACAAGTATGTTGTCAGACACATTTCTAATTAGGATTCATACTGATTATTAGCATTGTAAAAAGATAGCCTCACTTTCATAATAAGTAGCTGCCATTGGATTTAATTACAGTAGTAAAGAACTCGCTAACTACTGATGTTATTACAACTTGAGTGCAACACATTCTTGGCGAGTGAAACACGCTGTTAGATTTTCACGTCTCTCACGCATACTTAGAATGAGGTGTTACATGACGTTATGTATGGCAGTGCTCGTCCATATACACAGAAATATTTCTCATTCAACCAACTAGGAAGGATCGCTTCTCGCCAACAATTGCTTTTGCTGCATTAGTTATGTGTATGGTAGAGATCAATACTTAATGTACGCTGCAGGTATGTGATGGTTAACTCAGACACTACATGCGAGCTCTGTGGCTCCAGACTTCTCGTTCAAGGGTTCTACATGTTCCCGTGTCACCATGCCTTCCACAAAGATTGCCTCATTCCAGAGGTGTGTGTTCTACCTAGACTGGCATTCACACACCTTAGAGCATGCCCCTAATCCCACTTCCTTGGGGGGGTAGAGATAATGCACGAGCTGTATTGTCCTCGTGTACTAAGACTAAACCGCATAGTGTGTTCTTGGGGGATGGAGGGGAATTCACTGTATGTGTCATCAACATCAATGAAGCCAAAGAGAAAACAAAAGCAAAAAGCACAACTACACCCTCGAAAACTCATTTTTTCCAAAGCTGCCCTAGGTGGGATTCGAAACCCATGACACTGCACTGTAGGCATGCACTCTACCAAATGAGATACCAGCTGGTAGGGATCTTAAACACAACGGCAAACCTCAAACCTCTATGCTATGGCACAGTACACTCACACTCAGCATGTATATACGAAATGGTGCTCAAAGCTTTATTGCATCACAATCCAAAAGATGTACGTTCAAACAATTTTTTTTATTAGGTCATGCGTCACATGAGCAGTGAAGAATGCTCAGAGCTGGAGAGACTGCTGAGCGAGGAGAGCTCTGGCAGCAGAGAGGGGGCAACAGCCATGGCACGCAGCTCCACAAAGGTTAGGTAGTGTGTGGTGAAGGACGTTAAAAATGTCAGTGTTTATTATTTTGCTATTCCCCAAAAATTGCTCAAGCCATGCATTGCTTGTTGCCTGCAACATGGGATATGTTTTCACAGTTGTGACGTAAGGGTTTTACAACTGTGCGAACATTGCCCGTGTAGGTCATAGGAGGATGGCCACCATGTAACACAAACAAGCAATTTTTGCTGAGCCGGCAATCCCTCCTTCCATCGAGAATGTACGGTAGAGACAAAAAGTTGTAAGAAAGCCAGGCAAGGATCGGAGAATTTTGTTGGATAGGTGTAGCTGTGGCAGTACTCACTAGAACCCCGGATAATCCCCATGGTCCTCGGAACAGGATCCGTGTATGCCATCTAACTAACTAACTAAGAGGTCAACGATCAACACCCTCGGTTTTTCCAGCCTTGTTTCTCGATCGTAGTTCCTTAAGCCATCCTTGTTTTCGGACTGTGGCAAAATATTTTTGTGTTTGATAAGAGCCTTCCCACCGATTAGCCGCGGTAGACGCGTCATTATGCGCATTGCGCGAAAATGCGGTAGACGCGATACGCTGCAGCTAGTAGAGGTACGTGAAGAGCGAGCTAGCGTGGAACTGCACGAGCCACTCCTCCCTGCAGCAAACGTAAGCACAAGAGCAGAAGTCTGTTCAGCCCCTCCCACTTAGCAGTGTGCTGTGCCACTCCCCCGCCTCTACCCAATACACGCGGAAAGGGAGCGGATCGTATGTAGCTACACGTTTTTTATGACAATAAACAAATTCTTGCCCATGGCATAAATGGCAAGAGCTAGCTGTGCCAACAGAACAAGTGCTAGAAGGCTGGGAGGGACTTGAAGTGGAGGGAGAGGACTGCGGGAACTTGGGCCCTTCCATGCATCTTTCCCTTCCTCCATTCACTTTCCTCCTCCCACCCCACCAGAGGACCTGTACATGCGTGCCTTTTGAGAGAGGCTCGCCTGAAGCAGGAAGTAAGCACACACATGATGAAGAGTAGAGACATGAGATCGTGCAGAGGTCGACAGAGAGAGGACCTAGATTGCCAGGTGAGGCGTGCGCTGCAGTGCGACTACTAATAACCTTCCTGAGCTCGCAGTGTCACCTATGCGATCGACCACGATGATCCACGATTCGATGCTGACGCTGGTTGTGCTCGTCATTGCCCTTCCTGACCTTAGTCCCAGAGACGGAGCCTGTCACATCCATTCACATCACATGCTGGGCAACCACCACCATCCCCGGCAGTCATTTCAGATGCCTTCATTCCTCACCATTCATCATCTGACCGATCTATAGCGAGAGAGAGTAACAGGTATTCTAGAGATGGTAAGTGCGAGAGACCGGAATCTGCTAGATGGATCTTATGACTGACGACAGATGCTACGGCGTACCTGGGGGTTCTCTATCCTCATGGGGATTGCTCACGTTCCAGCTGTCGAGGACCACTGGAAGCGAGATTCTGTGCCTTCGCTACAGTCCGATTGCTAACCTATCTCCCGTGACAGGTTCCGAGACCTCCTCACGCTACCTCCACTTCGCTGACAACTCCACCCTAGTATCACGTGGTAGTCCAGGCTATGATCGTCTTGGAAGAAATGCCCCAGTACTGACACACCTCACTACTAAACGGTTTGCAGACATATACATCCCAAGAAGAGAGTTGAGTGCAGATGAGGCCATGATCAAGTTTTCAGGCCGTTCTTACTTCAAACAGTACATACTAATGAAGCCTATCAAACGTGGGATAAAGGTGTGGGTTCTCGCCGACAGTGTGAATGGTTATTTCATACGACTTGAGGTGTACACAGGGAAGCAGGGTGACAGGGTAGAAACAGGGCTGGGGTCAAGGGTGGTGCGATCGTTGACGGCTGACTTCAAGGGCAAACACCACATGGTTTTCTTTGACAACTTCTTCACCAGCTACAACCTGCTGGAGGATTTGCTGCAGGGGCGACTCACTGATTCTGCAATCTGGCAATGTGTGTGCGACCGCATGGATGGACTGCAAGCCCGTGATGGTCATGTCAACTGTCTGTGACCCCTCAGCGATTGGAACTGTTCAGAGGAGAGAAAAGAATGGCTCCCGTATTGATGTCCGCTGCCCTGAATCCATCATCCTCTACAATAAACACATGGGTGGAGTCCACAGAGGTGACCAGAAACGCGGATACTACCAAATGACACAAGTTTTACAAGTATATATTTTACTTTCTCCTTTATGTTTCCATCACTAACGCTTACATTCTACTCCGTGAGTCTGGCAAGTGTTCCTCCTCTCGCTGAAAGAGTTTCGCGTCGACCTTGCCAAGATGTGACTACAGCTCACGTCGCGGTGGTGGTCTCTTCCACTCTCTTGCTGTGCCACAGAAGAAAGCAGTCCGTGTTCGAATCTCCAGTATGGCATAGCCACAACCCACACTCCTGGCATCGCCACACACTGTCTACACGTTTCTTCAACGACATGCATCGCTCACACCTCCCTCTCTTGTTCCAGTTCTGATGACCTGGGTCGCTCTGCTTGAGTGGGAAGTGTCGGAGAGGAATAGGACTATTTAGGAGCTGCAAGCTAGATACGATACACAACTTATTGCTGGAGCCATGGAGTAACTGTAGAAATCCTAGAGCGTCATACAAGCAATGAAGACATTGCAAGCTTCTCAAAAAGACAAACTCTTCAGCGCAAAACACGGGAGTTGGGGCAAAGTGGCTTACCTTTGGCTGATCCCCTTTGGCTACTCATGGACCTGGCAATAGATCCACGTGATCAGCAGACAGTCAGAATAGATCAGTCCCAAACGGTGTCAGGAGGTCCCCACAAGGCCAATACGAGCAGATAAGTGGCAAAGACGTTTGCCTTTGTTTGCAAAAACTCGGCAGCTTTTTTTTAATGAATGTTTTTGTGGGCGTTTTCGCAATTTATTCCGCGTGCGTGTAAATTTGAACGCTAATCGGTTAACCTCCAAAACAGCCATATAAGGTTTCTCTACTGCCCTCTTTCCCACAGCGTTTGCACAGAGTATCATGTCATAGGTATCTGACTCCTCCCTGTCCCCAGGCTCCACGTGGTGCGTGGGCTGACCTCATCTATTAGTGCCACCCCTGGCTTCACCGCGAGGAAAAGCACGGCTAATGTGACCCTGCTTCCCACAACGATGGCAAACGCTTTCGTCGTGTGTCATGTTTCCGCAACCATAACACTTGTTGCTGGCAGCCGGGGACATCTCGGGTACATCAGTCTTTCCCAACAACTGTTGGGGGCCTTCAATACTTGGGTTCGGCTGTGTACGGCTTCCATAGCGATTGTGCGCTTCACGGCCTTAGTCAAGTCAAGGTCAGCCTCCGAAGTAGCCCTCTCTGTATGTTTTAATTGCTCACACCACAGACCAAACTATCCCTCAAGGCATCTTCGAGATATCCTCCAAAATTGTACTTCGCGGCCAGCCTCCTTAGCTTTGCAACATATTCCGTGATTGACTCTCCTGCCACTTGTAGTACCTGGAGATACCCAATCAAGCTTGTATGTACTTGACTATGTAGGCCTGGCAAGAGGCCATATTATTTGCTAGATTGCACCAGAAACACTCTCAGAATGTGCTAAATTTCGAAATTTTCCTAGGGTAGCATGCCTTCAGGGGGTGCGCTTTGCGCGCTTCATCACTCTCCTGTTGCCCTGAGCATTCAAACATTGCTTGCTCCCCACAAGCCTTATAAATATCCTAGGGAGAACACTGTACAGTACAACACGGCATACATAATTTATATATATATATATATATAATATATATATAGTGCACAAGCCTGGTTCACAATATGACGATAGACTTTCGTTTTGTTTCGTCTCCGTCCTCCGTCACATCATTTCGTTTCGTAGCTTCGTTCACAATACAACGTCGTGGTCAATGTTTTTGAACTTTGAACCTAGTAAAAATTGCGCATGGGGGCGGGGGGGTAGGCACCCGGTAGGACCGGCGAAGGACCCTTACCAAGGTAACAGTTTGCACAGTTTGCATGTCTCAGCATCTGAGACACAATCGTCCGCTCGCGTTAACGTGGAATGTCTCAGCGTTTGAGACACTCGTCCGAGTGCGTGTATTTAGTGTGTCGCAAACGCTGAGACCGTCGTCCCGAATGAGTTAAGTAAGGGGCGCAAAAGACAATGCTATCTCTGAACTGCAGTTTGGTACATATTCTTAAGTGCACCAGTGTGATTTTAGTATTTTTAGGTGTACCAACACTCCTTTTGGTCATAACTCTTCAACGATACATCGGTCCTGCCCTACAAGAAAACACCAAAATGTTCACTACAAACTGTCTTTTTCCTTCATAGCCAGTCATGTTACTGCTACATAATTATTTCTCTCTGCTACAGGCCAAAATAGACAGTATGCTGGGCTCCCAGTGCCTCTACTGTGGTGATGTCATGATCATGTCAGTCAGTCAACCACTTGTCCCACCAGAGAACCTTGAAAAAGAACTACTTAATTGGAAATGAGTGTTTGGAAATTGAGTGTTTTGCATGTGCCGATTGCCAATAGTTCCATACTGGTTTGCAAGCACCAAAACGTGTTTTTGCAGCCTATTTATGGATATGAGACTAGCAATGATCAAAATGGCACATTTGAATGGTTATGTACTATTATAGGCAGAAGGAGGTTATGCAGAACCATTTTTGTGCCACTGTGTATTAGAGGCACACGAAAGTGAGAATCACAAACCACACATGCGTCAACCAGATACAATATTTGCCTGCATTTAGTATCTGGTAGGACATTGGTAAGGGTGAAAAGCATTGATTTATAGAAATGATGTTATTTGGACTACAAGGTTCCTGCTTTGCTCGCCATATAGCTCTCAGCTCCAGCACTGTCTTGAAACTGTGCCGTACAGACATGTGATCGAAGCAGCACTACATGCTAGTACATTAGCTACAAGTTAATTTTAAAAAATTGAAAATAGTGTGGAATATAGGGATACATAAAAAAGCAAGGAGACAAGACAGAGATGACGTGATGCAGTGATACAAGTGATGATGGCTTGCTCGTGTAAAATTTTCCGTCCCCACAAAGCCCTATATATATTGTCGCTAAGTCTCCCTTGTATGATGCACAGCTATCATTTAGTGTTAATTATTTTCATTCTAGGTATTTGGTTAAACCCTCAGCGCGCCATGCCAGCGTGGGTTAACGGTAGTCGTTCTGTGTGCTATATGTGTCTACGACTATTCTCCGGCACTACAGCTACGAGGCGGCTTATGAGCGATACCAACAAGCTTTAGCGGTACATGGGCTAAAATTAAATGGCGTCGTTTTCTGAAACGACTGCGTTCGAGAGCGACACAACTGGCACGGTCGCTTACAGCGTTGCGTGGCCCAACCCATCATAAGCGGTGGCACTGCTGACGTCAGTAGGCTCACCTCGACCTGATCTGCTTGAGGCACACATGAAGCCGCAGTGAAGGTGTGTATCGACTCCCGCATGCCGGGCGCCTCCAGAAGTTGCTACGTTAGTGAAGCTCGTTGTTGTGTGTTCTATTTGTTTGGTTCCTTTGGACCTACATTGGTAGTTGTACCTACTACGTACTATGTCCACGAGAAGTGGGGACAAACGTCTTGCTCAACCCGGTCTGAAGCCTTCCTTTGTTGAAGATAATAGTGGATGGTATATTACTGTGGTATGTGGTAGCCTGTCTGGGCAACTTATGCAAACAAATTGGACAGCCAGCCTCTACCCAAACCCTATGCCAAAAAACGGACATCTCCCGGAGCTTGCCAGTACATCTTTCCAACCAGGTAGTTTAGGGAGAGAAGCACAAGAGAGGCACAGGAAGGAAAGCAGAGAAGGGAACAAGATTCCAGAGTTGATACAAGTGAATGAGTATATGAGTCAAGAGCTTTGTGTGAGCTGAGCAGTCACGGATTGAACAGGTTGCAACTGGGGAGACTGGGGATTTGGAGACCATGTCACAAAATCGATCAGCATCAGCAGAAGTTACCTTGGACCAGTTTATCTTTGGAGGAGACACAGAGGAACAGGAAGGAGAACATGGGGGAGTATATGGCTCACAGGTAGCACTGATGACAAAAAGAAGAGGGGAGTGATCAGAGAGGTTAGACCCAGAGTGATTTGCAGATATGTCAGAAACCAAGGAGGAGCAAGCCTGAGAGCATACAATGGGGTCAATCCAAGAGCGACTCAGGCCATCATCACGTTCATAAGTATATATGTGATAGAACTTCTATGACCTACATCAACAGACAACATATATCTAGTTCCAGCAGACACGAGAAGTGAGATTGAGAGTAAGAGACACACACACGCACACACAGACCCAACTACAGTAACCCTCGCTACGCATGCGCGCCGAGGGTTAATGAAGTGCAAACCCTCGGCGAACTGCGCATGCGCGGTACCGCTAATAGATGGGTTTGGCTATGCGTTTACCCAAGGTCTCCCGCTAGTAGCTCGCGGACGGGCTGCTACAGTAGTAGATAGCATGCAGGAGTCGATACGCACCCTTCGTTTTGACATCTTGTGCGTTCAAGATGCACAAAGCAAGCGGACGCGGTCGAGGTAAGCCTGTGCTAATTGGCTTGTTCACTTGGTTTTCACGCCATAACTTCTGAACCCGGTGGCGTCGCTATTTTACCTGTTTGTTGCGCCTGGTGACAGAAATCGTGGTAACAGACGGACAGACAGAACGACTACTGTAACCCTCGCTGCGCATGCGCGCGCCGAGGGGTGCAAACCCTCGGCGAACTGTGTATGCGCGGTAGCTGGGCTGGGCTTTGTATGCCTTTACACTCGTGGACTAGTCGTGGACTAGTAGCTCGCACAGAGTCTGGCACGGGCTAGGTACAGTAGTGGATAGCATGCGGGAGCAGTGGCGTACATAGCTACGGTAGGGCCAGGTAGGCCCTATATACCAAACATTTCGCAGTATAAATTTTAGCGCGCGCACGCGTGGAGAGCTGACCGGGATCAACGACAGGATCTAGGACAGTACAGAAAGTGTGTGTGTGTGTGTTATACAATGTCTACAAGTGGCGGGCGCCAGTTAACGCTTTTCCAGTGCTGCAACTCTGACACTCATGATGAGCCAGGCGCTAAGCGGGTGAGGCTGTCGCCCAGGACAGATGTAAGATGAAGATCCGTCCTCGAACTCGGAAGAAATTTATTGCGTTCTCAGAAGGCTGAAATCCAAAATTTTCTGAGGGAGCATGCCCCCAGACCCCCTAGGGGGCGCACTTTGTGCGCTATTGTTATTGTAATGATTATGTATAATGCCCTACCAGTAACTACTATTCCTGCCTACGCCACTGGCGGGAGTCGATACATGCCCTTCGTTGTAACTTCTTGGCCTCAATATACACAGAGCGAGCGGACGCGGTGGAGGTAAGCCTGTGCTAATTTGCATTTGGCTTGTTCACTTGCCTTTCACGCCATAACTTTGAACGCAGAAGCTCACACGTATTAACGTCTTACTAGTGCAAGCGCGTTCCGTAATTGTTTCTCAAAACTCCATATGTTATCAATGTATAACACTAGAAATTCTCTCCACTTATGAGACATGCTGAAGTTCTAGGACTGCACCATGGGGAGGTGGGAGAGAGTACAGCCCATAGCGTGATGTTTACCAACACTCTCTTTTCTCTTTTTCATCGCTTTGCTCAGTACTTTCGTACAGCAATGTTGTGGACAGCATTCTCCAGCTCACTAGCTTGACATTGATAGTCTGTTGCAGTGGCTTAAAAGGCAGGGTAGAGCTCTTGGTAAGCTTTTTGGGAATAGCTTTTCATGATTTTCACATGGAACTCTCTAGTATGCTGCTTAGGCTCACGTTAACAAGTAGCTACAGCTGGCAATTTTTCTCGCTTTCTCTCTTCCTGGCACGAAGCACCAGTCTTGCTGCTCTGCCAGATGTTACTGTATATGCAGCAATTTAATTTGTCTAAGAGCAATGGGACAGTTTCTCTCTCTGTAGCATTTTTGCATTGTGCTCTTTCAACTGCTCCTTGTTTTTCTCGTAATTTTCTCTTGCTTCTGTTCTTACAAACAGAGTTAGTCTTTGTACTATCCTTTTTCTTTTTCTTTTTAGCTTCGGGGTGAATGCTTTGTAGCTACCCTTCCTTTTGCTTTTTAGCTTCAGTTAGCTTTGTAGCTATCCCTTTCCTTTTGCTTTTTAACTTCCGGTTACTTTGTAGCTATCCCTTTTCTTCCCGAATGTGGCTAATGCGGGTGGCATTATGTGTAAAAGTGTAAGTGTGCATCGCAATGGTGAAGATGAGTAATGGAACGCATATACAATAGAAAATGCTCAAAGGATCATTTATGATGAAACCACTAGCACACATTCGGAGGACGGCTTGTGATGACTGTTGCAGAGTGTATATTGAAACGTCACATCAACAACACACTGCGAATAGAGAAGTCAAGTGCGTTGATCTGTCATGTAGAGCATCCTAGACAAGTCACATACATGTATGTATGCCTACTGCCACCACAATTGAAAAAATCACCATGAAAGAAGGTAATGTGCGATACTGTGTTTGGGAGTGGCACTTATTAGAAGTGTACAGTGTGCATCAGCACGGTGAAGGTGAGTGATAGAGAAACCGACACTCACCGGTTCATTATGATGATAGATACATTCGGAAAGGATTTTTAACATTATATACTACTACGTATATACCCTGTGGTAAAAATGAGAAAAATCTCGGTTGTCGTCATGACTGATATGCATACCATGTTTCATCTCCATGTGACGCCTGCTGTTAGCAAGTGAGTGATTGAAGAAACGTTCTTTAATTTTAAAGAAAAGTGCCTGAGCTATTTGTTGTTGTGGTCGTCATGGAAACGAGGTTACACAACTGCGTACCAAGTTGAATCCATGCGTGGTACAGTTAGCGGTTTTGAGGAGTGAAGAGAAGAAAGTTATTTGGTGTTGTGCTCGTCATGGACACAATCAATACACATGAGCCCAAGTTTCACCTCCATGGCATTGCTACAATTAGGAAGTTTGAGGAGTGAAGAAGTGATATTGCCTGAGGGCTTTTTCAAACTAAGTGGTCATCATGTAATCGTCATGGAAAGGCATACTTACCAGTTTCTCGCTATGCGTGCTAGCTACCAGGGAAAGTTGAGGAGTGAAGAAGTAAATTTAAAGAAACGTGCCCAAGGCTATTTGTTGTTGTTTACAAACATGTATTGTTGTGATTTTAATGTTGTGATTGAGTACATTATGTCTATAGTTTCGTCACATAGCTCTAACCATTTGTGAGTTATATGACACGTGATCCCGTTAATGTATTGCATGGCTATTTGTTGTTGTTACAGTAACAATGTTGTTTACAAATAAGTATGACTGTCTTCGGTGACGGAATCTACATTCTTACAAAATTTCATTACTATAGTATTGAGTTACGCGAGTTCAATCTAAAGAAGGAGAAGAAGATGAACAAAACGATGCAATGTAGATAGAAAAAGTGTGATTACTCTAAAATAACGCACAGCATATACACGTGTAAGAAAAAGAAATGTCAAAAAATTGATTTTCCAAAATAAATATGTCACTATAAAATATGCTATGCAAAGTCTTGCTAGCTGACCCTCTCTAATGGTACTGCCCTACACTTTCGTTTAACCTCATATAGCTAATATGTTATTTTTGTGCTGCTGTATATTTTTGTAACCTTGTTATACCCTCTTATATGTTTATTTATATATCGCAGATTATTTTTGATACCATTTGATAACTTTTATACCGCCTGTACCGTCTGTTGTACTCATTTCACCCACATTCGTGCATCAGCTCGCGTGTTTTGCTAGTCCCAAGTAAGCCCTTATGGATATAATTATGTATGTTATTATAGCCCTTTTGAAGTCCTGTTTTCTTTCTCTTTTTCTTTCTTTCTTTTTATGTATATAGCGTGAGCTGTTCAGTTTTCATGGCACCTGAGGAACCTATCCATTTCTGGCAGACATATACCATCCTCCACATGTTTGCGTATAGTGAGGGTTGATGACATGTTAGCTACTTTTTACTTCTGGGCTGGCACCAGCTTTTTCTGTATAAGACAGGTAAAATGTTTACCGCCACAGAATCCACTTAATGATCGCAGTGTAAGTTACATTACTAAGTGAGTAGTGATCTAAGGCAGTACACGTAAGATGACAATAGAGCCCAGTGAAAAATGAATGTAGCCTTTATCCCCATATTTCTTAACAGTCCTATTAGCATGTAACTCTCATGTGATGCTAGAATATAAGAAATATTGGAAAGCTTGTTATGCATGTTTACATCAGACACAGCACAGCTGAACTTTCCTCTCTCTCGATTCAGTTAAGAGCAGTACTATAAACATTGTTTTGAGAAGGTCACTGACTATTTTAATTTTTCACAGCATACTTGAAAACATCACATCCGTCATGTAGTCATCACCCGACTCTAACAAGAAACATATGGTGTCAGTGCAGCACTGTTGGTATTGATTATTGCATCTCATCCTCATCTCTGTGCTATGTGGTGGCAACACTTACACCCCACCTTGCTATACCCCAATTGAAGAAGAATTATATTCTATGAAACTACTTTACTCTTCACTTTTCACTTTGTGCGTCCCTGTTCAGTTGAACTGAAGTAAATCATCCTTCGTATATATTACAAGTAAATTAAAAATCTGCGAATTAAAAAAGTCGCCACTCTTACGCATGACATGAATTTTGAATATGTCAGTGTAAGATGACTAAAAACGAATCTGTAGAGAAGCAAGCATTGTTAGTTGAGCGAACATTGAAGTAATTTGGTCACGTTCAAAACTGAGGACTTGTCGGAGAGGGCATTTGCTACCAGTCTTACATGCAGGAAACGAATCATAGCTGCACATCATACGATAGAGATCACTCGTACTTTGGGACAAAATAGGGCTTGTGTGGAGTGAAATTTACACAAGCTAGAAATGTCAGTTTGAAGATGTAACCATCATCCCATTGTAAGCACTAGGTCACCAGCATCGGTGTCTTGTTTCCTTGGTTTTTAAGGCATCACTTATTCCAAACTTTTTTATTTGTTTATTTACTTGTCTCCTTTGCTTTTTGTACTACATTCACATGCATGTTGTGCAATATACTTTTTGGCATAAACCCATAAAAAATGTAACATTAGTGGCTATAATCACCTCAGATGTTTTGTCGTCATTCACATTACATTCAGTTCACCAAGTTTCATTGTGAAAGTACCCATCATAAGCAAGTTATAGGCCATTTAAAAGTTTTATCATTTAGGGTATTTGTAGTTCGCACAATTTATTTGTCTGTAATATTATCATAATGTATGGCCTGGGGCTATTTGTGTTGTTTTGTTTACATGTAAACAACATTGTTTGCAAACAAACTTGCATACTGTCATTGAATTCACATCATTTGCAAAGTTTCATCTCCATACTATTACCTTACACCATTAACCTGTTTTTTGAGATACACCTATACACACACAACAACAGGAGGAATTGTGGAAATGGACTTCTGTAATAAATCAAGTACCGATTTTATGGATTCTCTGGCTACTTGATAACTTCTCTTTGTGACGATAGGTTTACATGTAATCAACAAAAATGGCGCCCAGGCATCATACATATGATATAGACCGAATAAGTGTGACTAACTAGGTAGAGCAAATAATACAGTACAATAAACATTTGTATACACATGCCACCAATTATGTAGTGTCAAAAGGACACGTACAAATTTTTAAAACAACAACAAACAGCCTCAGGCAATAAAAACTTGTCAATGGTTGTTGTGCCTCGCACCTGCTTAGTGGTTCTCTAAGAATGAACTGATACTCTGACTTTGTACCATGATGAGAGTTCAGTGAAACAGTGAATAATACAAGTGTTAAACAACAACAAACAGCCTCAGGACAATACAGACGTGTTGTGTCTTAAATATTTGTGTGTGGTCTCTAACAATGAAACCAGTACACTGATCACCAAGGTAAAGGGGCCCGACCGCACCTATCAGACAGAACTACAAGTTTGTAACAGCCAACACAAACAGCCAAAGGCACAAAAGCCGTATGTTGCTCTGACAAAGCCACAGGTATTCTCTATGTATGATGATGCAGCTATGACTGCACATATGCCGGGGCAATTTGTGTGTTGTTTATAGTAAACACATTGTTTCACACCCGTGTGCCGTTGCCCACCTGTGGTTCTCGATATGTACGTACACATTTCATGTGTCTGTCAGTTATGTTATGTCTCTTGAATTATGCTGTTGAGAAGTCGACAGCAAGACGATGCGACCAAAACTCCTACATCATAGCTCCCAATACATCTATGATGCTAGCCATCCCATCTCTATTAATCACTAAGTTCCGTACTTGGATCAAGTCCTGTTTAGGCATAATAGCTAGCAGACTTATCCATATTTGTTTTGTCTTCTCTGTCTCTTTACTGCATGAGATAAATAGAGTGGCTCACAATACAGTGGAATTCGAATGATGGACTATGGTAGACCAGACATCCATGTTTGGTCCATACAGGCTATGTCCCCTATTTGTAGAGGAAAATGGGTTTTCTCTGTTGTGTCCTTTTTCAGAGGGTCTTTTATGAGAAGTTCTACTGCAGGCCACACCTGAGGAAGAAACTCCACTGATCAATGTTAGTGGGGAACACAGCATTACCAATAATTATGGTCGGTTCAATGCAAAATACTTTCCATAATTGTTGAGATTGGTCTGATGAATTAAATTCACATCTTCATGTGTGTTACCATTTTCAAGTTTGAGGATGTCTAGGGCTATGGACGAATAACAGTGATGTGAAGTTAGTTAGTAGTATAATGAGTCTGTACAGAATGTTATATTGAGTTGTTCTTTGCGTTAGTACAAAATAATAGTGTTCACCTCAGGTAAGGTTGGATGTTACACCAAGGTAGCTGTATAGTTTAACTGGCAGAATTAGAGATAGTGTGATTGCAAAGCACAAGAGGAGGAGTCCTTGTCATTTATTATCCCACTTCCTCGAGCCTGGCATGAATTTTCACTTTTTTGGGCAATTCATGTGGTCATATGTGGCCTGATCTTACTAAACCCTAGCAGTAAAGACATCATCTGCTTGCAGCTTCTTACGCTTTACATTCAACCTGCAGCCTTTTGTCTTCACCACTTAGCTATGTATTTTATGATTGCCCAATAATGAAGTTGGAGTTTATATGACTTTACTAGGTGATGATCACGAATACTGTGAACGATCTGTCTGTATCCTGACCTTATGCGCATGTTCTCAATAAGTGGGTGTGTCCATCTGCTGATTCAGCAACGCGGCATTTGCCAGCTCTGCGGTTACGGCAAAGTAAACATAACACTGGAGAAGCACAGTTATCCAGACACTGCGGAATATGAGCAAGGCATCGTTCAGAAGGTGAGTATTCCTGCGAAATATTTCGGTGTAGATCTAACGCTAGTGGGGGTAAGGGGGATTTCAGCTCGAACGCGTCTAGCACCAGCGTAGCCCCGGTCCGCGGAATAGCTGTTGCGGGTTAGCTCTCATTTTCTCTCCGTCGCTATGCAGAGGTGCGGTGCGGCTCTCATCAACGCTGGGCAGTGGACACACGTCTCTCCAACTGGTGGTCTCGGAGCTGAGCAACACTCGACGGAAACACAAGGACCTGCTCAAAGCGCATACCGTCGGTGAGTTAGTCGGCAATATCTGTCACAGTTGTACGTGGATGATCCTGCTCTAGCTTGTCACTTCGTGTGACGAGAAAATGAACGACGAAAAGTACTTTGCCTGAATTGGTGTCTTTTTATTTGCCTACAAGGAATCGAATTCCCTGGAGAAGGAAGTTGCACCTAATTACATGTGTGTAATATACAGGAATTCCTTAGAGAAGGCAGTTGTATATCTAATTACTTGTGTCTATATTGTTCACTCCCTCTCTCCTCCACAGCCTTCCACAGTGTCCACAAGTGGAGTCAGGATGAGGGGATAGCAGCTCTCCAGGATGTCCTGAAGCAGGTCTCGGAGCTCTCTCTCATGTGGGCCAATGCACAGTCAGAGTTTATCGGTGAGTAGAGCATGATGACATAGCTATAACCCATGCTGAGCTAGCTAACACTTGCATGTCTTTTCATGTCCTTTGACAGTGTGTACATAGCAAGTTTGGACCTGCCAATTGTAGTGTCTAGGAATCAGTTTTAAACGACTGATAGACAATTCATTGTGAGGCAGATTCATTGCAGTGTAAAGACGCTACAGCATTCCCAACAATAGCAAATCACACACTGTTCACTCCTTCTGTGCTTTTACCCAGTAGTGAAGATTTAGTAAGCTGATAACTCTCTTTGTTAATAACATCAGCCCTGTTGCAAAAATTGGTTTATATTTAAGTCCCAAGGGGCAGACCACCCAAACCACCAACCTTCGAGAATTGGAAGAAGCTGCTAATACCTCTCAAATTTCTCTTCTATAAATATAACCCACGAAGGGGGCCGCCCAGCAGAAGCGACCTTATCCGTCGCCCTCGGGCAAACACAACATGGATTCCCGTCCCCCCCCAGGCCCTCTAGATGAGACCAACTATTCCCCTTCCCCCTTCTCTAGCGCTCGCAGCATCCTCCCGGGGCCGTCTGCTCTTTTACATTGCGGCAGCGCGATTATTCCTTACCCTACCAGACCGCCTTAGGCCCTGGATGGATTTTCCCTCCTTTTCCCGTCCCCCCCCCGGCAAGGGAGCATGGGTCTAAAATCGCGACCTGTCACATTTACCTATTTTCCCCCAGTTCCCTCCCACATTCCGCCGACAAGGGAAAAAGAACAGCCAGCTTTGCAGGTTTGTGTGAGGGACAGGGAGAGGAAACTAAAGAGGGAGATGGTGAAGGGCTCCAAGGGCACCGGGCATCACAACAAGACCAAACTCCCAGCAGGCTCGTGGAGGATGCCAGGAACCTTGAAGTACAGATGTGTGATGTTACTAGAGTATAGCTACGCCACAGATAAAGTATGTGGAACATGATGGAAGCTTTTAGGGCAGGTCCACTGCTATCCCAATCAATACGGCCACAGATATTAAGTAAATATACTTGCTTCCTAAACACCACTTGCATCCGTGAATTTGTTTTAAGTCCTGACACTCGCAGTTTTTGAACGTTATATTACACAGCACAGAGATATGAGTACACCTTACAAAGAAATGGCCTGCTTCCTCTGTCTTGCTGGCAGAATGCCAAAGGAATGAGGGCTTGTCGACCATTGTCACCCAAGCAAGGAGGTCACCCCGTGTGGGAGTGTCCATCATCCTATGCTACAACTTTGGCTCCCAAAACAAAAAGGAAAGCCATAAAACACCGTTAAACATGGCGTAAGTTGCGATAAGGGTGGAGTATAAGTCCGACCCTGCATGCGATAGAGAGCGCGTCGAAGGAAAACAAGGAGTGCGAAGAGACGGGGAGGCGGAGGAAGGGTAATCCGAGTAGTCGACACAAGAGAAGAAGAGGGAGGACGGGATGCCATGAAGCTGGCCCCAGTTGAGGCAGGGCTCTGGAGCTCGCTCCAGTCATGGGCCTTCCCTCGGCAGGAAGTGTGCTGTTCTCGCGGAGAGTCTCAGATGTCAGGCTGCCCTATGTGTGCTTCTTGTGCTGCCTCCCTTGACATAACTGTTCAGCTATACCATGATGGTGGCTTAGGAAATTGCTGGTGCTAATTTTCCTATCCGGTTTAATACGAGGTGAAAAACCACTCACCATGTACTGCTACTACCCCTTTCTACCAGTTTGTGGAGCAGCATTTGTCGATGGCGCCAGCCTAACATATTTAGGTTGCACAATTGTTTTTGGGACCCATATGGTGTTTTTTTGAAGTGCGGTTCTTCTTCATACCTGTACGGTTTTTTTTTGCCTATGATCTATTTTCTCTTCAGTGGCGCAGGATTGGCCCAGCTGATACGAGATTGTTAACACCCGGCTTGAGGAGTATTCCTCCTCCCACACACGCATCCCCCCCGCTTCCCACGAGAGCCATAAGATCATCTCTCCACACGAGGGAAGTTGGAACACTTGAAGCCTCCCAAATACAGCTCGGCTGCCCGGCCACCTCCTTCTCCTCCCCCCCCTCCTCTTCCCCTCACCCTCCCTCCTTATGAACCCTTCCCTACAGACCCAATGTGCGGGCTGGGTAAGGGGACCACGGGAGAAATGGGCTTCGTCTCTCTGATGTAAGAGTTGATTTCTGTACTTAAAAAAAAAAAACCATGACCCTCTGCAAAGCAGAAGGCCCGGCCGGGGAGGAAAGAAACGCTGAGGGGAAACACCCACAGTGAGACACAGCGAGACCGCCCAAGGCCCAGGGACAAAGAAACAAGCGAAGCGGCGGGCACCAAGACTCCAAAACGGCCGAACCGCAAATCTGGAGTAACACACCGGACTCTCCGAAGAGAAATAAGGGAGGGTGGAAGGGAGCGGAAGGCCAGCCAGAACCAGATAAGTACCAGCCCAGCACACCAACTCGCAGCACAGACTACAAGAACAATCCTTCAGCCGGCACGGGAACACGATCCAATGCCCCCAACCTCCAAACCGCGCGCCTCACAACCACGCAGGAAGGGGAAGTCAGTGCTCGGCCAAGGAAATCGTGAGAAAAATTGGTCGCGCACACAACTTACATGATACCTTAAAGACTGGCGCGAGGCGCCTCGACAAGCACGCGCCACTTTCCCCAACGACAGCACAAACTTCCCGCTCGGCTCTACTCCCGATAAATCACGCACCGTGTTTGCCACTCCGCCGGTGGTATCCAAGGCACTGGTTGTAGCCGGCGCGCGTTGATCCATCTAGCTGTTCTATCTACCTCACCCCGGCCGGCCAGCAAAAGACCTCTATCTGCACAGTGCGCATGTCGTCTTCTAGCTCATAGGTGACATAAGCCGGATGTCGCGCATGGGGTTCGGTAAACAGGACGTTGGCAGAGATATGCCAAGTGCCCGCAGCTTTCTGCGCTGTCACTGCGACCTGCACCGTCGTCCGTCCTCGCTGGCCGCGCGAATGTTTGAAGCCTTTCCCAAGCCTTCAGGCGGATTTCGTGTTTGCCGGTTTCCAGTTCGGGGCATGGCGAAATTCAATGACCCCTGCCAGATGTCTCCGCCCTGCACGCTGTAGAGCCCTCCGTCAGTGAAGAATTCGTCGTCAATGGCCCAGCTACATTTCGGTGCCCAGTCTCTCCGGTGATGTTTATTGCCGCCTGGGAAGTCCGCAATCGAGGCCCAACAACCAACCGTCTCGCCGCGGAAAGCGTAGGTGGCCTTTGGCTCCCTCGAAGCGCAGGTCGATTTTCGGCCCCCCCCACGCCATCTGCTTCCACTCCGCGCTGCCGTACCCGCCATACCCAAAAAGCCCATCCACCGCACCAACGCCGCCGGGCCTGCATCGCTCCAGGTCACGTAAGCGCTGATGCGGCGTTTCTTCCAACCGTAGGTAATGTCCTTAGGTACCTAAACGCGGCGCTGAGCGGCCCTCGACCACTTGAAAGCGGACGCCACGAAGAAATGGTCGCTCAACCGGATCTGCTCGTAGGTACAACCCTCTAAGTCGCTCTCTTCAACTCATCACCTAACTCAAATGCCTTGCCACCACGTGCACGGCATAGGCGGGGCTGCTCACCGGCTTGAGTCAAGACTTGGCCGCGATAGACCCTTCGCCAAAGGGCGCGGAGCGAAATCGGCCACGGCCCGATCTTCACCTGAAAGCGCGGCTGGCCAAGCGGGTCGCCGGGGTCGCCAACTGAGCGAGTAGCACGCTGAATGGTGTCGAATGATTTTAGGCACCGGTGGGGTCAGACACGCGGCAGCAAGCATTGCTTGGCCTCGTCGAGCGGCCCACCCAATCGGCAGAATGCTCCCGTCCGCCTGGAGATAGCTGCCGGTAGAACTGGTTGGCCACTTGACATTCTGTGCTGTGATACCCTATCCGGGTCAGCGCAATCATGCCGATACACGCCCCCATCTTCCTCTCTTCATGAGCCCCTCGGGCATGGAGATGCCGCACGGTATCGCTCCGAACCACTCCGACTTGACTCGCAGCCTGGAAAAACACGCAGTGCGACCGTGCGTGTCGTTGAGCTTGCTGCCAAGATCGCGCCGGAAAGCCAGGACAGGCTCTCGTGGTGCCAAGCGGTCGAAGCTGCCGTGCCTACCACGTGGTCAAATTAGCGAGCCCTTGGTGAAGAGCCGGATAAATTCGTTTTCGGGCCCGCGCCGGGTTCTCCGCGCCCTCTAGGAAATTGCGATGTAGAGCTTGGTCACAGTAGTCCAACGTCTCGGGCAGAATGTGCTCGGCATGTATCGTCTGTCATGGATGAAGAAGGACTCGACTCTGTCTGTGCCTGTCGCGATTGAGCAAATCCGTCCGAGACCAACAGCAGCACTTCTCGGCTCTGCAAGGCCCACACTTCGACGCTGGTCGTAGGCGATGACATTTTGTCGACGACCACATCGGCCTCGGCCGCGGTCTGCACGTCAGCCGACCAATGGCCATGTCGGCGGCGAGCAAAAGCGCTCCCACCACCGCGTAGATACCACTCGTCGTACGTGCTGTCGTCCGTCGTGGAACGTCTGAATCCAATTGCCCTGGCTAATGGACGAATTTTCTTGTAGTCGTACGAGCCGTCGCCGACCGTCGCCACGAACTAGGGGCGCGGGATCCCAGTGCTCGGCCGCATAGGCGAGAAATGCGGATCGCCGTCGGGTCCCAAAGCCCGCGAAAACTCGTCGTAGATGTCTTGTACTTCGATGGCCACCGTCCGCAAGGCGGCCGAAGCGGTCGTCTGCAGCCCGCCACTAGCGCCAGCGCTCGTGCGCGGCGCGGAAATCGCGGTGTAAATCGCCACCAGCATTCAGCAGCCCGTTGTCACAATCGCCGGCAAATCGAAGCTCGATCCGCACCGGTCGCTTCCAAGTCGCGGGCCACCACACTAGGTACTCTGACGTGCGGCGTATCCTCCCGGGCTGATCCTGAAAATCACCGTCCCGTCTTGCGCGTCGAACGCGAAGTCCACAACCCTCGTGCCAACCCCGCAGAGACCTCGAGACTCTCGGCTGCTCGTCGGCAAAACCAGCGAGGGCGGAATTGCGTGGTGCCCGTCAGCGGATAGCTGAACGACAACTCGCCCGCTCGGCGACAAAGCCGCGGCTGTATTCCACCTCGTACCAATCGAAGCGGGACGGATTACCGGAGTGAACGATCCCCAAGTGGTTCAGCCCCTCCTGCGCCCCCATCGGTGCCCACAGCGTATCGGATGCAACCTGCGCGTCTCAGATCGCTCTGGATTGCAAAAGCCACCCTTCCGATAGTCTCTTCGTTCCAGCGCACCGAAAACGCGGCGCCGCGTTCGGGTTCCCGATAACCCAGCGCACGTCACCGGCTCGGGCACGGCCTGCCGCACCACCACCGGAAAATTGCGTGCATTGCCGCGAAAGTCCTCCCAGTACCAAGTGTAGCCGGACTTGATGCTATAAAGTTGATTGAGAACGAACTGCTCGGCTTCCTCGTGGATTCGCACCCGATAGCTCGTGGGCTGCTGCGGGTCGGACGCCACCAGAGCACCGCTCCTTTGCTCGGCCCGCCGTCCCTCGCCCCCACCGCCAAAACCCAGCCAGTACGCGTTCTCGCGCGTGTAGAGGTTGTGTCGATATTGAAACGAGCGGCTATCCAGCGCGTACTCCCAGCGGCTGACCGGCTCGGCCCAAAACAAGACGAAGTCGTCCGCGTCCAAGCGGCCATCGCCCCCGTCTTCTACCACCAAGCCCACTTCCGCATGGCTTGAGGCGGGTTCACCGTGCTGAGGGACAAGCCTTTGCCGCCGCCGTAGTGCAGGCGCAAGCTCGCCGGATCGACGTCGCCGAGCGACACCCCGGCGGCCTCTAAGTCGGCACCCGCTATCCTGTACATTCCCTCTTCCGAGACGAAGATCCGCAGCCAAGTCCCTTCTTGCAACGCGGCCTTGCGCGCCGGCCGCTGCTTGGCTGGCAATCGCCAGTTCCTAGCTTGCTCGGGATTGACGAGCGCCCCTTGGTAGAATGCTTCGCCCCAAGGGTCGGCAACCCGGGTGCCGCCATGGCCGGTCACATGCAGGTCAACGACGATGCGATCGTACAGGGTCCGCGTCCCGTCTGCTTCGACGCGCGGAGCAAACGCCACCGGAACGACGCGCTGGCGACGCGCAAAACGCTGCGCCGAGGAAGCCCGGCTCGGGCGTGAGCGCGCATCGTCCTTCAGCGGCGCGATCCGTCCGTGCTACGTGGGCTTCGACCAACTCCAAACGAACCTGTCCGTCGATTGGGACGCCGATCAAGGCACGCGCCCCTGCTCCAATTCTTGCCCTCGGGGGTCCAACCAACCGCAGGCGCTGCGGCGTCTGTTCGCTCACGCGCAATTCCGCCATGCCGCACTACCCCAAAAAAGCGCGAGCGCCCAAAAGCAGCATTTGAATCTCATAAAGTGGTATAGGTGGGATTGGTCATTGGGTCATGGCGATTGGCACTTTTAAGGTCATTCCAAGCCCCCTTTTTGTCAAGGGCATCTCACCTTGACTTATCGACTCAGCACCGCTATGTTTTACTGTTTCTTAACAGGGAGGCACTCATGGCCAGACAATGCAGCCTGACCAACGTTAAGGGCCTAGTTGGCAACAAAGTCAGCCACTCGCAGCGCAAAACCAAGCGCGTCCAACAGCCCAACCTCATCAAAAAGCGCATCTTCATTCCCGAAGAAAACCGCACCGTCACCCTACGCCTGACCGCCCGCGCCCTACGCACTTTAAACAAAAAAGGGCGTCCATCAGTTCCTCAAGGAAAACGGGATCAAGGTCTAAGCGGGCAAAACCCTCGCCCTACGCGCACATGAACCACGGCGACGACGTAGCCGACGCCATCCAAGAGCGAGTTCGCCAAGCTCTAGCCGAAAACGCGGCCTTAAAAATTTTTGCCGGCCGCACTAAGTCCTTTCTCGGACGCCGACACGATGGAATCCCACTCGACCTCTCCGCCCTGACCGGCGTCGTCAGCTACGAGCCAGACGAATTGGTCCTAGTCGCTCGCCCGGGCACTAAGCTGAGCGAAATAGAAGCCCTGTGCCGTGGCGAAAACCAGTACTTCGCTTTCGAGCCACCCGCTTGGGGTGCGGCCGCGACCATCGGCGGTACCGTGGCCTGCAACCTCTCGGGGCCGCGGCGCTTCAAAATGGGCGCGTTGCGCGATCACTTGCTCGGGGCCGAGCTAATCGACGGCCGCGGCGAGCGAATTCGCACCGGCGGCAAAGTCGTCAAGAACGTCACAGGCTACGATCTGTCCAAGGTGCTGGCCGGCTCCTTCGGGACGCTGGGGGTGCTTACCGAGGTATGCCTCAAGGTCTGGCCGCGCCCCGAAACCCAAGCAACCCTATTCATTCATGGACTGACGCCCGCAGAGGCGTTGGAGCGGATTATCGACTGGGCGGCGCGGCCCCTACAGATCACGGGCCTAGTCTGCGACGCCGACCAGTTAGCCGCCCGCGTCGAAGGGCCGGCACCAGCGGTGCGGGCGCAGCTAGCAACGCTGCGCGAAGGAGAAACAGCAGCGTCGGAGGTGCTAGCAGAGGCCGCGTCGCACGCCTTCTGGCGGCGCTGGCGCGAGCTCGAATGGCTGGCCCCGGCCGAGGACCAACAGCGCTGGCGCTTTGTTGGACCGCCGACCAAGATGGTGCAGCTAATGGAAGCGCTAGAGGCCGAGGGGCTGAGCCGCTGGGGGCTGGACTGGGCCGGCGGCTTGCTGTGGGCGCTGTTGCCAGTGGCCACCAAAGCCTCGCGCTTGCATCACGCTGCAGCGCACCACCAAGCCCTCGGCTGGCGCTTTGCCGACGACGAGCACAACGAAGACGCCTTTACCCCGCTCAGCGCTGGCGCGGCGCGCATGAACCAGATGCTCAAGCGCGCCCTCGACCCACAGGGCATTTTCAACCCAGGCAAAATGTACGCCTAATATATCTCGCCTGGACGATAGTCCGGCGGCGGCATTTCCCGCCCGCTGAGCCACAGTGCCCGTCCAACCCGCGCCTGGACGTATTGATAGTCATAGCTCGTGTCCGGAGCAGCAATGTTGCCCTGCGACGGGTATTGGGCAATCGCCTCCTCAACGAGGTCTACGCCCAGCCCAGGAGCATCCGGCACCGCGATATGGCTATCGACGACCTCGGGCTGGCCGGTCATCACCTCGTAGCGCTGCGGCACATCGTCGGCTAGGTGCTCCAAGATCAGGAAATTGGGCAGCGTCGCCATTAGGTGGACGGCCGCCATTTCGGCCACCGGCCCCAACGAGCCGTCGTGCGGGGCTACCATGCAGTAGTGAGCCTCGGCCATAGCGGCGATCTTCTTCATCTGCCCCAAGCCCCCAGCGCGGCCCGTATCGGGCTGTACCACATCGATGATCTCGCGCTCAATCAGCTCCTTTACTCCCCAAATGGTGGCGTGGCGCTCGCCCGCGGCAATGGGAATGTCCACTGCGTCGGCAACCCGGGCGAGGGCATCGATGTTTTCAGGAGCTACTGATCCTCGTAAAACAGCAGGTCGTAGTCTTCAAGCGCGCGGCCCAAGGCAATGGCGTCGCGCGTCGTCAGCCAAGGCGGCCCGTGGACGTCGACCATGAGATCCACCTCGTCGCCGACCTCTTGGCGAATGGCAGCGACCGTTTCGACGCAGTTTTTGATCCCCCCCGGTCTTTATCGCCGTATAGCCTTGATCGACCAAGGCGCGCGCCCGCTCTTTCTCGTGCGCGTGGGCATAGACCCGCACTCGGTCGCGCATCTTGCCGCCCAACAGATTCCACACCGGCTGCCCAAGGGCCTTGCCCTTGATGTCCCACAGGGCCATCTCAATGCCGGTCATGGCACCAGAGCCGACAATGCCGGTCATGCCGTGCCCCATCATCGCCACCTGCATCTTGCCCCACAGCCGCTCGATGTGGAAGGGATCTTCACCGATCATCAAAGGCGTCAGGTCGTGGATGGCCGTTTCGACCACGCGCGGCCAGCCCGACGCCTCGCCCACTCCATAGATGCCGGCGTCGGTCTCGACCTTGACGAAGAGCCAGTTGCGCGCCGACCAACCGCTCGCCTGCGGAGGCGCGCAGTGCATTAAATAGGTCTTGATTTCGGTAATTTTCATAGCGATCTCCCCGCCTTGCGATGGAACGACAAGTATAAGCCATAGAGTGAAATCAATCCATTGCCGGCACCCTGTGCACAGATTGACAGGTATATTTTCAATACTTAGCTTCTAAATTTTCTATTTATTAGGGATTTAATTCTGACAGATACCTTTCTCATGGATCCCTGTATAGGTTTGATCGATCAAGAACTGGCCCGGTTTGAAAAGCGGCTCAACGCCGAGCTCAACGCCGATGTCGAGCTGGTCCACGTCATTGCCCGCTACATGGCCACGCTCAAGGGCAAGCGCCTCCGGCCGGCCCTCATCTTTGCTAGTGGCCAAAGCTGCCGGCGACTGGAACGAACAGCTAATCGACACGGCCGTGGCTGTCGAGATGATTCACGCCGCTACCATGGCCCACGACGACGTAGTGGACTCAGCGACCGTGCGCCGGGGTCGAGAGACGGTCAACGAGCGCTGGAGCGGGCAGATCGCCGTACTCATGGGCGACTTTCTCCTCGCGCGTGCACTGCGCTTACTGATCGAAATCGGCAATCTACAGGTCCTGAGCGTAGTCGCGCACGCCACCGAGCGGCTGAGCACGGGCGAAATATTTGAAATCCAGATCGGCACGCAGTGCGATACGCGCGAAGAGTCGTACTTTGCCATGGTCAGTGACAAGACGGCTTCCCTGATCTCGGCCGCAGCGCGGATTGGCGCGATTCTCTCTGGCGCATCGGACGAGGTCGTGCAATCCATGGGGCGCTACGGAGAGTCGCTCGGCCGCGCCTTCCAAGTCGCCGACGACATCCTCGACCTCACCAGCGATCAGGCGACCATGGGCAAGCCCGTCGGACACGACCTGCGCGAAGGCAAGATCACCTTGCCATTGATACGCGCCTTGCAGCAAGCCCCATCAGGAGCGCGGGCCGAGATGGAGACTCTTTTGGCCCGGCCGGACAAGGACGAAGCAGAATGGGGGCAGATCGTAGCCTTTGTCGATAAGCACCAAGGAGTCGCCGCCGCCGCCGAGACCGCGCACGAATACGCCGCCCACGCTCAGGAGTGCTTAGAGGTACTGGCCCCTTCCCCGGCCCGCGCTGCGCTAGAACGAGCCGTGCAGCTCGTCGTCGAACGCAACAATTGACGCGACTAGCCCATGCTCAAGCGCAGTCTGCTGGCCGTAGGCGGTTTGGCCGTGGTCCTGTACTTTCTGCCGTCGCCCCAGTCCGTCGCGCCGGTGCGCGCAGACCGCCTCTTGTTGGGAACCCTCGTCACGGTCAAGCTCTACGGAGACGAAGCAGTGGTTCGCCCGCACCTAGAGGCGGCGTACGCGGAGATCGCCCGCGTCGATTCGTCGATGAGCCACTACCGCGCGGACGGCGCACTGCGGCGACTGGAACAGCAGGCGTCGGCTCGCTCCAACGCGTGGCTCGCCGACGGACTGATTGCCGCTCTATGCGCGCAGCCAGCACTCTTCCGCCGCGTTGACGACGGACAGCTTTTGACTGCACGGTGGGGCCTTGACGGCTGTGGAACTTACCTGCCCGATGCAGTACGCGCCCACGATCGGCGCTAGATTGATTCGGGCGCTGGCGCTGGTGGGCTATCGAAGGGTTGGAAGTTGCGCCAAGCCCAGTCGTTTCGGATCGACAAGCGGGCTGCGAGAAATTGGGAGGGATCTGCGGCAGCACAAAATGGCTACGCGTTTTTTGGTTTGACAAGACCGTGGAGCCGGCCCATGCAGGAGCTATGAGGGGTGGACGGCTGGTGGTGGACGAGGCCGGGGCGATATTCGCTATTGGGCGAAAAAACCGACGGGCGGCCCTTGGCTCTGTGGGGTCCAGCACCCGCGCGCGCCGAGCAATACATAGAAAGAGAGGACCTCGGGCTCGCGGCGATTGCGGACTCCGGCGAATACGAGCAGTACTTTTAATTGGGAGTGGCGCGAGCGCTATCACCACCTGCTCGACCCCAAGACCGGCCATCCAGCACGGGAGTGCATAAGCGCAACTGTGTGGGCTGCGACCGCACTGGATGCCGATATCCTGTCGACCGCAGTCTTCGTCTTAGGGCCTGACCAACGGGCTCGCGCTCGTCGAGGGCCTAACGGACGTCGAGGGCTTCATTTTTTTTGAGCGAGATGCGCAACTCATGCACCGGGCGTCAACCGGGCTGCGTGGCCGCTTTCGCTTTTGCAATAGCAATGAACTTTCGCCGGGCTGTGCTCGGCAATAGCGGAGTAAAGACAAATTTATGAAACGCAACCGGAAACTCGTGCTGATCTTGGCACTGATCGCCGCCCGCAGTGTACTACTGCTTGCCGGAGCGTGAATATTTTACAGTATGACGCGAACGACGGGCGAGAAAGAAGCTCCTTGGGGCTGAAGGCCACGAAACAGACTAGCCGATCTGAATCTGGAAAAAAAAAGCGCTCGCTCAAGCTTGGGGGGACGTGCAGGCGCATCCACCTCGTCCTAGAGGTCAAGACTGAGGGGATGGAGCAGCAGGAAGCCCAAGATGCGGTCGCTCAGGCGCAGGAAGTCATCCGCAACCGAGTCGATCAGTTCGGGGTAGCCGAACCGACCATCCAGCGCCAGGGCGATACCGCATCATTATAGAGTGGCCGCGGCGTCCAGGACGTGACAGCGTGCAAGGATCTAGTGGGCCAGACCGCACTCTCGAATTCACAGCTCCGCGAGCCTCTGAGGATCGACACTCGCCT